CCCMMAAAWKTSTYWTWTTYWYWTWKWKTWWARWGTKTTTTTTTTTATTATTATTATCAGATATTAATTTTTTTCAAGCCTCTCCCCCATCAATATATTTGAACATCATGAATATATATATATTATACGCCTATGACTATATTAGTTATTAGCTATAACTGCTACAAGATCTTTAAAAGTCTCAATTTTTTCAAATGTGTAACTTTAAGTGATCTTGTATTACTGTCTTTAGTAATTTCAATTAAATATGATTCATAACTTTAATTTTTTCTTTGATTTATTTCAAACCTAATACTTTTGCATTCTGAATTGGACTCAAAGTTTCTTTTAACGCTTWTTTCTGTGTCCTTACCTTGGATGCTTTAAGTCATCAGWAGGGCTCGRAAGTTGCCGGAGTTACATATTATTCTATACGCTCTCAATTTATAGAAGACCAAGCTCGAAATTCGTTGTATACAATGACGATTTTAAATACAAAAATTAAAAATGCATTGTTTTACATGTTTGTCAAATTTACAAAAAAGTASATATTATTTATTAATTTTCAAATGCTTTTTATGCATATTTATTAATTTTAATGGGATTTCTATGCTTGATTAATATTTTCTAAAAAAATTGATATTTTCTTGTAATGATTATGATTTTATTATTTTGTCTTTGATTATTCAGCGCACCAACCATACAGTCGCCATACCGCGCGTATTGTAACCATGTTATGCATACCTATATATCGCTATATCGACTATTATTTTAACGGAGCGCATATTTATCGTTATTACAGAAACGCTTAACACTATGTAATATTATCTTATGATTCTTATGTATAAAACTCGTTTATTTTATATCTATGTTATCGAAATCATCGTCAATCTAAGAGTAATTTCTTCTATAGGTATAGGTAATAATGTATTTATAGGTGTATTATTGAATTATATGGGCAACTATATTTCCCCCCGTTAGTTGACAGTCGTTTACTCGTGTAAATGAACTTTCACATGTTATAAAAATTTTCTGTCCTCTATAAAATATACCTAAATATTAAAATAATATATGCCGAAAAATTCACAAACTAAAAAAACTATCTTATATAGAAGTYGGTGAAAGTGTTTTTTCAACAGACGGTGCTATTTTTATCTTATAAGATCTGTGAAGTTAATGTGGATTGCGAAAAACGATTTACGGTTACTCAAAAACAAATAAACGTAATAAATCATAAATTAAATCGTATAAATGTATAAACTACACAACAGTTTTTGTCTTCAAGTACCCCCAAAAAGTGTGAATTTTCAAAAGATTTATGATGGAAATCAATGATGTGTGATAATAAAATAGTGAATACTGAATTTCGATCATTCCTAGAAAAATATACCGTTTAAGATATTCCATATGTGTTTCTACCTTAAGAAAAACTTATTTAAATGAATGTTACGAAGAAACAATCGATAAAATTAGAAAAATGTGGTCGGGAATACAATTTGGGTATTTATCTATGAAAATACTGACATCAAAGATTTATTGCGAACGTATTATTGGAACATTATTGGCTTATCAACCTGAGGATATATATTTATAGACATCTGAGGTTCTTGATAAATTAAATTTTTTCAACAATAGCCAAAATATTTGATGCATCAATGTTCCTTTTGAGGCCAAATGGAATTCGGCACGATGACATAATTTAATTATAAGTGATGCGGCCCCGTATATGAAAAAAAAGCTWGTACAGCTATTAAAGCATTATATTCAAAAATGATACATGCCACATGTTCAGCTCATGGACTGGATAAAATTGTAGAAGAAATACGTAGTAATTTTCCAACAGTGGATAAATTAATATTGAGGGTAAGACAAGTATTTTTAAAAGCACCGTCTCGTATTTTATTATTTAAAACTGRAGCTTCTGGAATTCCACTTCTGTCGGAGCTCATACTAATACGTTAGGGGGCATGGCTACAAGCAGCTTCATACTACTGTCAATATTATAAAGAAATAGATAATGTTTTAAAACATTTAGATTTCAGCGATGCGGTTTCTATTTGAGAAACTAAAATGATTGTAAGTGACCGTTCTGTGGAAATGAACTTAACTTTCATTCATGCAAATTATGGTATTTTACCGATAACAATAACGCTACCCGAAAAACAAAAACTCCCGTTACATGAATCAATAGCAACAGTGAAATCCGTCGAAAATTAGATAGATTATAATATTAGCGGGGCCAGCATTGTAAAAAAAAAAAATGTTTTGGAAAAATTCATGGTTTTAATGATTTAAAAAAAATATCAAAAATTTTAATTGGTGAAGCAACTACGTCAATGAAAGGATTGCCAGAAGACTTGAATGGGAATGACTTGGCGCACTTTAAATATGCATCCATAACGACCATAACTTCATCGGATTTTGAAAGAAGTTTTTCACTCTACAAAAATATGCAGTCTGGTTGTTCGATGCAATAAATTTACAGGTATGAAAGTTACAATAATCTAAATTTTCACTGAATTAAAAATAAATGAGTATAATTTTTCTAATAACTTATATTCTGTATTTTTATTTTTAGATAATTACAATCCTTCAAAATCAGCCAATTACATTTACAGCTACTTATTAATTTTTTTTACGTATTTAATAAATTTTTGTCATGCATATTTTGTAGGTAATTTTTTGTGCATATTTTGCTCCTACAATTTCCGAGCCCTAGACATTAATAATTAATTTTTACATTTATTTCTTCCACTTATGATACTTGCATATTTCTAATTACTTTCTTAAAATCTACGTTAAAAAGGCTTGATGACAGAACATCGCGTCGTTCCAAATCCACAATCACCTCGAAAGTTTCTTATAGAGTATTTCGTGGTTAATTGATATATTGTGTTTTACATACATATTGTGACGAGCCTTATTAGCTTTCTTTGAACCACAAATTCATCATACATGATATTGTATATTAAACTATCTCTATGATTATTGTGCCTACTACCTATCTAATACTTGCAACAGATTTTGTCTACGTTTATATATTTCTTTTTTTGTATTATATGTCCAATGACTCAATGTCAATTGTTGATT